CATTTATCTCCATTGTGAATGACACATTTTAGTACGATCGTTTGATTCACGTTATTCATTATGATCCAGCCCAACAATGAAACTCTCTGCGGCTGTTTAAAAAATGGTGGATGTGTATATTTATTTCCCCGAAACAGTGAGGAGTACTGTAAAGTGGGGGGAAGAGACATCTATTTATGAAGCAGCGAGGACCGTGACCCCAGCTCATTGTGTGTTTATCAATGTCCTGGAAACGTGGTCTGCAGGCCCAGCCCCAAACGCTAACTGGGTGAGCTGGAGCCGGGGTGGGAGGGAGGCATGGGCTCCCCTCCCTCTTATTTCTGCCGCTGTCTAATTTCTATTTCTTCTAAATTAACCTCTGGGTAGATAGGGGTCATTGCTGAGGGTCTGGCTTTTGTTTGGGGTGGTGAGTTGTGAGGATGTATTACTTCTTCATTAGAAATAACTAATTAAAAAACTAACAAAATAAATAAAGTAGGTCGGGGGTGGACGGGGGGAGGGTGCTTGTGGGCAGAGGGGTTGGAGGGGATTCTGATTAATGCAATTGTGCACACTTGGGGTCCTCCAGAAAAAAAAAAAGCAAATATATCAGCCCTTGTTCTTTCTTTCTTTTCTTTTCTTTCTTTTTTCTTTTTTGGTGGCTGCCCAGTACGGGGATCTGAACCCATGACCTTGGTGTTACCAGCACCACATTCTCCAAAGTGAGCTAACCGGCCAGCCCCGTTATTTCTGAAATAGTAATTTTAAAACGCATGGGCATGTATTTGATGGTTTTCTCTCTCCCCCATGAGGCTGTGAGCTTTGAGGGGTGAGGACTTGCTGATGGATCAGATTTGGGAGTGAGGGAAAGGGGGGCCTGAGCTACTGGGAGGGTGTTTGGGGTTCAGGATCATCTGAGGCACAGAGTAGGTCTTCAAGGGTCTTTCCCATCCTCGCCTGACATGGACTCGTCAAGGGCATGGATGAGCCAGATTCCTCCCACACCCCCAGTACTAGGTGGGGCCTGGCACATGGCTGGAAATACTTTGGTCAGAATCTGTCAAAAGAGCTGGCCAAGGGCCAGCCCGTGGCTCACTTGGGAGAGTGTGGTGCTCATCATACACCAAGGCCACGGGTTTGGATCCCTATATAGGGATGGCCGGTTAGCTCACTTGGGAGAGCGTGGTGCTGACAACACCAAGTCAAGGGTTAAGATCCCCTTACCCGTCATCTTTAAAAAAAAAGAAAAAAGCTGGCCAGTTCACTCAGTTGATTGGAGCACAGTGTTACAACACCAAGGTCAAGGGTTTGGATCCCTGCACCAACCAGACACCAAAAAAAAAAAAAATCTGNCCACAGGGACACACACCAGACCTCATGGTGACAAAACAGCAAGAGGGTGACACAAGGCCACTGCCATGCTCACGGTGACATGGGGGTCTTAGAGGATTACAGTACAGTCGCAGAACCACACTGGTCACACCACAACACAAGCATGCAATGTCACACACGTTCCACCCCAAACGGGGCATGGGTACAAACACCCACAGTCCTTGTGACACACATCCTGTCACACCCAGGCACACCCACGTGTGCCCCCTCCCAGGGTACAGCCATAGTCACAGTGTGTCACAAAGCACCTGTCAAATAAACACCACATCCTACAAACACATGGGACACACCCAAAGTCTTCAATATACAAACCCCCTTGAGGACAACCACTTGCATAGACTCTGTCACACAACCATCGTGTCACAGCTGGAGCTGCAGTGAGTCATAAGACACCTGGACCATAAACACCATGTCTTACAGCTCAGGGCGACACACACACACACACACACACAC